AATCACAGAAACACGTGGTGCTTATCAGCACTGCACGTGGTTATAACTAGATTTTTAATCAGAGTTGCACTGGCCGCCTACTTTTACTGAGCCAGGCTGTCTGATCAAGCATAAAGAAATATTAGCGAAGTTAAAATAGGGAGCGAAGTGCAACTCTGATTAAAAATCTAGTTATAACCACGTGCAGTGCTGATAAGCACCACGTGTTTCTGTGATTCCTATTTTCTTTCTCTTGATGAGGAGGGATCTTTAGCTGCCCTCGAAATCGATTGAGTGTTTCATTATACCTACGCTAAATATAAGGTTGTTTTTTACGATTTTGATTGTCACATTAGCGTGTTTCTCTTCTAGTCTAACAAGGGACTATTTTAACGGACTGAGAAACTTCAACTAAAAGACTTAAAGCATATAAATGTAAACGAAAGCCTCAGCAATCGGAAGCACTTCAGTTTTAAATAAGATAGTCAGTCAGACGGGAGTAATTCATGTAGAGTTAACTCATTCCTGATTAATAATCCATTATGAAAAGGCGGAAAATATTTTCGCTGCTCTGAGTGTTCATCAGACTGATTTTTCAGTGTTAGGATATAACTGATTTCACATGTGTGTTTTATTTTGTCAGAAAATGTAAAAAAGAGGAAGGGGTACCTTTAAAACCGAGGAATTCTGCATAAGTACCATGATCTAAGAGAGTAAATCGCAATTTTCCAACTTCACGAATTTCGCATAGCACATAAATTTATATTTAACTAATTAAACTACAATGCCTGTAATTGTACTACAATGCCAGGAATTTTCATAACACATACATTATATATGCACAAAGTAACACTGAAGTTATGTGCAATGACACTCAATATGATTCGATGCTTCATACTAGTACTCAGTTGTACTGAAAGTAATGAATGTTTTATTAATTGGAAATTTCGCTCGATGGGACTATATGAGAAGTTATAATTTGTTACTTACACAATTCACTGTGCACATACCTAGTCATTTTGTAGAATGCCAAAAACTGCCCCCCCCAATGCATGAAACGATTAAATATTTCACACATTTCCTAGGCATTCTATAGAATGCCAAATGACAAGTAATGAAAATACTTGGTATGGAAGTATGAAATACATTTCCGATTCATTTCAAAGAACCGAAATTGCTTATCAGAAGTTAATAAATGATGTGAAAAAGTCACAATTGACTACTAAGAAGAAACCGCGGGGCTAATGGCCGCTGGGATATGATGTTTGTGGAAAATATAAGTACATTAGTTTATAATGTTAAAGAAAGCGTCAGTACTATACAGGATTACGTCATGGACGCTGAGTTATTTCCCGTACTTCATGAAAACTCATTTCAGTAGTGGGCATGGATGACGTGACAAATGTTGAAAGAACATTCAACCAAATACAAAAATGTTACATGTAAATGATACTGAACAGTACAACCCTCTTTGTGATCCCTGCCCCCCCCAAAAAAAAAATTATTAAAAAGGGCATTGTTGTGAAACTTATGACTGTTTCTGAATTTAATTTCCATTGTCAGGTAGATCTTACTGATTCCCAGTCTCAGCCAGATAGAAAATATAGATTTATTATGTTTTATCATCTCAGTATTATTTTTTACATATTATGGATAACAGTTTTTAATGGCACTCTTTCATTAATTTTCAAAATAACATTTGTATATTTGAGAAGTGAAATATCTTTTAAATAACAGCTTTATTATAATCTTTTTTCATACTTTGCCTAAAAACATCCGACATTATATACAATGCCTAGGCATTCTATAGAATGGCGGTGTTTCACACTTTGCTGGTAACATATATATTGCAATTTTCATCACCTGGCTTAGAAGTCCCTACCCGACCTTTATTGTCGCAATCATTGGTCACTTCCAATTACAGAAGTGTTTTAAATGACGAAAATGTTCCCATTTTGAAAATGCTAAATTTAAAAAAAATTAATTTTCAACAAATAACGAAATCTAATGTTTAAAATACGGTTTCCCGGTTAATATATTTATATTTGATAAAGTTTTATATTCATTATGAAAAAAACAAAATAATGGAAAGTTTGAGTACCTTACAACAAAAATTGACCTAGACATTTAATTTTAAAATTTGCACCTTTTGATGTCCTTTTCAACTTGCTTTGAAGGATCTTAAATAAGTTAGAATAATTTGATGATATAAGGGATATTTATTTTCACTTAAATTTTTAACGCACATTCATTATTTTAGAGATGTCTGCTATGGAGCTTTTTTACGCAGAGGTACCGATGAGAAGGCGAAATGTGATATTTACCACAGGCTGCATTCAGTGAAAGATGGCTTCACAACAAATTTAAAAAATACCTCATAAAGAAACACAGGTCAACTTATGAAACCATCATTCCATATTTTGTGAGAGATACAATAGTTCAAGAAGCTTCTGAGTCATCAACATCGAACACAAGTACTGTACTAATCCTGTACTAGAACTGGTATCTCCAACAAATTCAAAACAAACCACGTTGAGTACCTTTGTTAAACATTACGTGAGTATAGTACAGGGGGAAAAAATGAATGACTTAATTTTTAAAATAAAGATGTACAACCTTTTTCTGTCTTTGAGGTTTTTTAAAGATCATATTAATTATTTACAACTTGGCTACAAAGTACTATCAAGGTAACACTGAGTAATACTTTCTTGCACACTCAGTACCTAGAAGTCCAAAACATATTAAAAGAAGAATTGCATAGTACAAAGTTTATATCAATTACTACCAATAATTGGACTTCCTGGGCAACTACTTTATACCAGGCCATTACTGCCCAAATTAGGAGCTGAAGTCTGTACTGTTGGGATGTTTTGAGTGTCATGAACAACATGCAACTGACTATATAAAAATGAAATATGTACCATTGGGACATACAAAATAAAGTATTTGAGTAACAGACAACTCAGCCAATATGAAAGCAGCCATGTGACTGACCCAATTTCAACATTTGCCTCGAGTCACGTATACACATAATTTAGTTGCTTGCGTGGGACTGCAGGGATCCGAACTAGAGGGTCTCATAAAAAAAATTAAAACCATCATGGAGCATTTCCAAAGAAGTCCGCTGGCAACAAAAACAAACAAACAAACAAACAAAAAAAAAAAAACACTCGCTGACGTGTAAAAGCAGCTGAGGCCTTGAGACCTGACCCAAAGTCTCTGAAATTAAAAGCAGATGAAGTGATAAAGTGGAACAGCAACCTGGATATGTTGAAAAGAATGTGTAACCTTCAAGAACCTCTAAAAGCGGCTATTGGAGTCCTACACAATCTGGCTGAAAATCTATCAGGAATTGACTGTTCCAGATATAATCAAAATTTTAAAGTATTTAAGCAGTTAACCAAAGAAATGTCAACTCAAAACAAGGTTACTGTTTCGATGGTCTTAGCTGCCACTGAAAGCATAATTAACAGATAGATTTAGATATCAATATTATTGCAGAAATATGAAAAAAATCTATTTAACAAAATAATAACAGGTTCAAAAATTGTTAGAAGCACTCAATATGATCTAAAGCAGTGCTATTAGACCCACAGTTTAAGAAGCTTGGCATTCAGATTTTCAGATGAATCTAGTTATAAGTATGAAAAAAAGTACACTCAAAAATGACTTGAAAAATATTTTAATCTTAATAAACAACAGACAGTAGAGCCAAATAAATCCACACCAGCAGTATCCGCTGACACTGACGACGACTCAATATAGAAAGACTGATGCAAGGGCAACGTCCAACTTTGTCTTGAACTCTACTTTTTCTAGCATTGTCACTATGAGGCAAGGATCTAGAGGAATGTATTCTTTCTAGAAATGAGTGCCCATTAAAATGGTGGCAGAAGCAGACAATACTGTACCCCCAACTTTCAGGCTTGGCAGAGAAATATTTATCGGTCGTGGCTACCTTTGGGAGGCAACTGAAAGAATTTTTTCGAAAGTTTGGCCAAATACTAAGGCATTGCTTCATTCAACCAAAACGAATGGAAAAAGTTTCAATTTTAAATAGGAACCAGATTTCTTTGCTAATCATAATATTAAACTGTTTTTTCCTCAAATGCCTAGTTATTTTTATAAGTGTTTAATATTATTTCACAGTTTTTCAAATTTCTATTGTTTTTCTTAATTTTTAATACCTATAAATAGTTTTCCTAATGTTGTCGTACATTATTTAAAACAAATCCTTTGTTATGACCGACCCAAATGAACATAACTTAGTATATACTTTTTATACGTCATATTATAATCATTATTATCTATTTACCAACAGCTAATATAAACAGATCTGAATATAAATAACAAGATGAGAATAGTTTAACTACAGTAACGTGCAAAATTTTCATAACACATACATTATATATGCACAAAGTAACTCTGAAGTTATGTGCAATGACACTCAATACGATTCGATGCTTCATACTAGTACTCAGTTGTACTGAAAGTAATGAGTAATGATACAACAGTAACATGTACTGGTTGTTTTAGTAACAAATACATTCAGGTAGACAATTTCTTGTTACTTTTACAACACTAGTAACAGGCTCATATTAACAATACACAAAAGCAAAAAATATGAAAACCCTTTACAGCCAGTCTATTTGCCAGGATCTGAATATGGGTCGAATCACATATTTAGCAGATGTAACTATTTCACTATTTATGTGCCACTCTAATCTGGGGGGAGGGGTAATGAGATTGATAAACCTACACTTGGTCCTCTCATTCAATTTTCATGAACTATTAAAATACGGAAGCTTTTACTGCAAAATCCTAATTAATGAATGAATTTCTGTTTCCAAATTTTTTTGTAATAAATCATCAATGTATCACCACTCTTGTTTAGGACAGGTGAAAAATTAACAATAACATGTAGTATATTCTAATTTCTTTTCACACTTCACACACATAACATGAATGTTATCACCGTATTAAAATAAAAACTCTGTAAAAAGTTACAGATTATAATATACTGCATTGACAAAAATTTCTTTATTAAGTTATAATCTTGTAAATAATTTACCATAATTAGTTTTAAAAACATGGCATGGCTTTTTACAGAACATGCAGTTAGCCAGGTCTATAGTAAGTGAATCATTGTCACTGTATTTAGATGTTCATACATATAGGACTTAATGATATTTCCTCGAATTAAAGTAGATTTATTCAACAATGGAATAATTTTTAGATGATAATAAAAACACTACAATGACATAAAACTTTGAGATGAAATATGGTAGTTTATTAACAAAGTATGGAACAATGATTATTTTTCAGAATGAGTGACTTTTAGCACATTAATTCCTTTGTACAATTCATTCCTAGAATATAATGATCAACAAAAATAACAATCATTTTCTATTGTGGCTGGTGACCAGGTGGCTGCTGGGGCATGGGATAACCTGGCAACTGTGTACCTGGAGGGGGAGGGTATGAATATGGTACTTGCATCTGAGGATTGACAAAAACTTGAGTGCTTGGAGGAGGGTATGGATATTGATGAGGCATAGCTTGAGGAGCTGCAGTATACAGTGGATAATTGCCAGTGTAGGCATAAGGCACAGAATATCCTGATGCTCGATTAGTGGGACATGGAATTTGACCAACAGAATACTGAGGTGGTAATGGCTGTACCGGCTGCAATTGCTGGTAAGGATCCACTGTAGTTTGAGGCACTGGAGTAACAGTGCTTGTTTTGGGTTTACCTGGTGGAGGTGGGGGAGGAGGAGGCGATCTTGGTGGTGGTGGAGGAGGAGGAGGTGGTGAAGATGATCGTTCTGCCTTTCTCAAATGTTTTACTTTAACTTTGTGACGTCGTTCCTTAGGAGGAGGTGGTGGTGGAGGAGGAGAAATTGATCCAACGAACAAGTCTTTTGTAGGAGGTATGCCATCAGCAAATGTTACAGACTTTTTAGGTAAAGAATCTGATTCTCGAGATGGCATAATTAAAATACCAGCTTTAGGAACACTTTGACTGGGCACTGTTGAAGTAGAAGAGGCTGTAATCAAAACTGAAGAACTGAAAAGCCTTTTGGGTTCTTCTTTTCCTTTCTCAGTTTTATTGACTAAATTCTGTTGAACATCAGAAATAACAACAGAAGAATCTGAAATTGTGCTCTGCTCAGATGCAGTGTCATCAAAAGTGAGTTTTTTGTTTACTGAAGCTGAAATTTCAGCAGATGAAGACACAGCCTCACTAGATTCTAAACTACCAGCCATCACAACATCTGTATCAGAGCTACTAATGGCTTCATCTTGAGGAGGAATCACAATTTCTTCTGCCCTACTTTCACTACTCTTGAAAAGTGTAGCATTTAAATTGTCAACATTTGTGCTAATTTGGTGAGTATTTCCAGTTTGTAAGGGGGACCCCTCAGCTAATGTTGTTACAGCATATGACATGTTTTCTGCCATTTCAGAAGAACCAGTAGGGTTTAAGTGCATTCCTTGAAGGTATTCCAGGTAACTTCTAGAAATATCATCCGAACTGTATGATATAGAGTTACCATAACTGTCAGTATCAGAGTAAGTTTCCATGCATGCACCAGCAAATGTTTTCTTTTCAACTAATGATGCAGGATCAATTAACACTGGCACTGTAGAATTTTCTTCAGGTGTCTTTTTGAACAACTTCTCTTCCCTCTTAACATTTTGGAAATGTGAATCAGAATTAGGCACTGCATCTAGAACTGAAGAATTAGACACAATGTTTTGTAGACACTGTGGTACAATTTCATTTACAGCTACTTCTGCAGTATTTTGACTTGTTTGTGATTGATTCAGATTTATAGGAATGGACAAAGGACTGATTTTTAATGACTGATTGACATCACTTAATTGCTTATCATCAGTAATTTTAATATCCCACTTACTATTATTATGCTTAGTATTAGTTGAAATTTCAATATTAGAATTCTCTGAATCACATGTTTGCAAACCTTGTTTAAAAGATATAATAGGATAAGATATTGGTACATTTTGTGTTTTAGATAAAGCCAACTGCTTCTGTCCTTCACTGTCACTTTGATCTGATTTCTTAAGTGACATGGATTTAGTCAATTCAGAACATGTAGCATTTTCAACCAAAATGTTTTTCTGTACAATTGGCACTGGATTTGACGTCTCTTGAAGAATATTATCAGAATTAGCTTTATCTATGATAAGATCTTTTTTCTGTAACGCTGGATGTTCTTCACTATTAATATTGGAATCTGCAATACAAGACTGTTTCTCATTTAAACTTCTTTTATTTAAAAGTTCAACACTAGTTCCTTCCTCTTGAACACAAGTAAAATCATTGCTTTTCATCACATCCTTGACTTCTTTAGACACAGGATGAGAAATTTCACCACTTTGCTTTAATGCTCGCTTTGATCTATGATTATCTTTCTTTAATTTTATTCGAGATCTTTTATTTAGTTGTGTATCTTCTGCTTTAACTGCTGGTGACACTGGCAACTCAGTACTTTTAGTAGTGTTGTTCTCTTTTTCATTTTCACTTTTTTTGTGCACAATATGTGATGAAGAAGTTGGTAAATTGTTTATTTTAGATGTTAGAAAAGACACAGATGTTTTATCACTTGGAGGCAAATCAAGTGTATTAGCTTCTTGCATTTCATTTTCAGGTTTTGTTCCAGTAGAATCAAGTATACCATTTTCGGATTCATTAAGATTGACTAATTTCATGAATTCATCATACTCAGAATCTAGATCACTAGATCGATTTCCTTCATTTTCCATGGAAACATTGCTACTTACATCTTGTGCAAGGGTTAAGTTTTGAGAGTATACTGGTAAAAGAGGCTCTTCAGATTCACTTGATATTACTTCTGGATATTTCATCCCACATGGTTTTTCTTTCACACTCAATGAAGACAGCTGCACTTCATTTCCTTTAGTATCTGTTTCTCTAGATAATGCAGGTTGAGCAGAAGAATTAGTTGAATGTGTTGTACTATCATGAAGTGACTGCAAATTGGTGGCTACAACCTCAACTTGTTTTGGAGATGCATTACCTATAGGAGACATACTTTCTAAGTTAGTATTAACTGCCTCTGGTAAGGAATTTTCTTTATCTTTGCTTACTTCTAATTCACATGAAGGAAGCAAATCGCTCGTATTTTTTACACAAAACTGTTTACCTGTTCCAAGTTCAAAAGGAATTTTCTCCTTTACAATTTTGCTGTTTTTGTTTTCTAATGGTTCTCCTTTTATATGGTTTTCCACATCTATTTCTTGCAATACAACTTCATTTAAGGGATTCGATGCACCACTTGGTATTTCTGATTGTTCAGTTTTAATGTGCAAGTTACTTCCTTTTACTTGAGGGCTCCAGTCCATTTCAGAATTGCTTTCAGAATCAGTGTCCCACTTTGATTTTATCTTTACTGGCAGGAATACTTCAGATTTAGCACCTTTTGCACAAGTTTCAGATAAATCTACCAAAGGCTCTTTTTTCTCAGCTTTGTTTTCAGTAATGGGTATTTTTTTCAATGCCTGACTTTCTGAAGATTTTAATGACAGATTATTAGATTTTCTCTTTGCAGAAGGTTCTGTTGATACTGAACGTCTTTTAGACCCTTTGAGAGGAGGGCTGTCTATCTGGCCATATGATGTTTTCAGAGCATCAAGGGCTGACATGCTTCCTACATCAAGCTGACAAGAATCTGAATCATTATACTTTGGACTAGGACTTCGCTTTTTGAAAACACATTCAAATTCACCACACTTTCGATTACAGCAGAAAGGAATAGAAGGTAATGTATAAGTATGCCTTACCACATCCTTTGACTTATATTTTCTCCTTTCCTGAGAAGAATGATGATGATCATCTTTATGAATGGAGAACTTTTTAGCCTCTTTGTCTATATGTTTTGAACTCAGTTTATGCTTACTTGAGCTTTTTGATTTCTTTTTGGTGCTAATATCAGAAATATGCTCTTTCTTTCGCTTGCCAGTGCCATGTTTAGATGGATGCACTTTCTCAGTCACACTGCCTTTAACGAGTTTATCACAATTTTCTGTTGGCAGAACAGTTTTGCTTAAACTTTTATCACTGCAACTAAGCAATTCTTCATTTTTCACACCATTAACAAAATTAGCCCCTTCTTGATTTTCAGGCCTCTTATGACATACAGCAGATGCTTTTGGTACCACATCATTTTGCAGAGCTGTTCTGCTATGCTTATCTTTGTGAGACATTAAATTAATTTGAGTATCTTCAATACTACGAGAAAACTTTGGCATTGAAAAATCAGATATTTTCTTATTTACACACGAAAAATTGGTACTGTTTTCCTCCACAGGATACTGAGAATCTGAACGAGAATTTATGTTAACAGAGTTTTCTATAGCAGGTTGCAAATTTAATTTGTCAGGCTCTACATCTGCATCATGCTGACTTTTATCATGGCTATTTTCAAAATTTTGACCATTTTCTAACTTTGAAATTTCTTTTAAGGGTGTGATTTTCTCTCCCAAAAGTAATTTATTACTACTTGTTTTAGAAATAAAATTCGTATCTTTTTGTGGATGTGTCTCAAACTGAATCGAAATGTTACTTATATCACCTGAATATGTTTTTTCCTGCTCATTCATAACAGTCATATGTGGTGCAACATCTTGCTTATGCAATTTTTTAGAGCTGGAATTGGAAACTATGTCACTTTTGATTTTGTCTGTTTTAATTTTCTTATTACTTACCTTGACTTTTACAGAGTGATCACTTTCATTGCTAGAACTGCTGCTAGAAGATGTATCACTGTCTGTGTCGGATGAAGAACTAGATCCACTCTTGTCATTACTCTTCTCAGAATCACTGCTACTACTACTGGATGAGCTGCTTTGATCAGATACATTACGCTTCTGATGTTTACTTGACTTCTGCTTTTCACACATTATTTTATACATAGCACGAATAGTATTTTCCAATTTTTTAGAACTATCAGACACATCAATACCAGCTTTCACACACAATTTTTTAAAAGTTTTGTTTTTTAGCATATGAGCAAGCAATTTATCTGTTTTATGTTTAGGCTTAGATTTAGATTTTGGTATCGATTTGGGACTTGATTTATCTTTCTTTGGGGAATGTATGACTCGTTTCAGTTTTCCAGAATTCTTGCCTTTATATTCATTAGAATTTTTTTCTTCACGCACTTCTTTTGAAGAATTACCAGCACCATCTCTTAGGGTAACAATATTTTCTTTGGATGAATTACTTTCAGAAATATCTTCATCTATTTTATCTTTATTAACAGAGGCTGTGCTATCATTTCTTTTGGTCTCTTTAGAGATACAGTCTACAAGCTTATCATTTTGTAATTTGTTCTTTACATTCCTTTTGTTCACTTCCAATGATTTATTTGCTTTTTGCTGATCAATATTTGCTTCTTCATGACCAGAAAAATTTTCATCTTCTAAAGGTGAATGAGGCTCTTCAGAATTATGATGTACCACAACTTGATCCATTTCCCTTTCATTTATATGATCACTACAATGGTGCTTCTGATATTCAGACAAACATTTATTATAGTCTTCATTTGCAATATTTTTGGATAAATCATTATTTTTTAAAATGTATCTTGTTGCATCACAGTTAGAAGATGATTGAGAGACTATTACATTTGATGAAGATTTTACATCAGATAAATTACAAGTTTGATCAATTTCAGATAATTCAGCATGTATACCTTCTGAATATTTAGTGTCAGTATCAGAACTGCAAACATCAGTAAAAACTGTTCTATTTAAACTAAAATCATCAGCTTCCACTGCAGATGATTCATTTACTTCAGAATTTTTTATATCTGAATCATCAGAGTTCGACTTTTCTATTTCTGGTTCTTTCAAGTGCATTTTATCAGGAACTGTTTCAGTATTTTCTAAACTAGAAGAATATTCTTGCATATGTGTTTCTTGATATGGAGATTCCCTGTTGCCTAACATTTTACTTTCTCTGCGATCAGATTTTTCATTCCTAACTGCTTTGTCTCTCTCTTGTGACATCTCTCTTTCTTGTGATTTTTTTCCTCTGTCAACCAACTTTTTATGCCTTTCCCATTCTGATGATTTTGCATCTCTGTCTATGTGTTTTTTAATTCTATCTTTTTCCATAGATTGCCTCCTATCATAATGATCAGATCTCTTATTTTTGACTCTGTCTTCAGACTTCCTTTCCCTACTCTCAGAATAGTGACTATCTCTTCCATCTGACCTCCAATTCTTTTTCTCGGATGATCGATTGTTCTTTTCTTCCGATTTCCAACTCTTGTTTTCAAGTAACCGCTTATTTTTCTCTTCAGGTCGCCAGCCTTTCCCCTCTGATGACCGAGTATCCCTTTCTTCAGATCTCCGACTTTTTCTCTCACTTGATTGGATATCTTTATCTTCAGATTGTCTGCTTTTCTTCTCAGATGATCTATGAGACTTTTCACGAGACCTTTTAGTACCCCTCTCTAATTGCCTTTCAGGTGCATCTTCTGAATGTCTACCTTTTTCCTTCTCCAACTGATCCTGTTTGCGTGACTTTTCAACAGTAGGTTCATTTAAATCTTTTTGAGATATATTTTGGGTCACATCTCCATCACCTTTTTCAGATCCTACAATTACATCTGTTTTTACAAATGTTAAAAACCCAAAATTTGGCTTTTTTGAAAAGGCATCTGGCGGTTGGTTAGGATATATTTCAGCTTTTGATGTAACTGGAGAATTAGCATCCTCGCTTTTATTGCTTGTATCTTTCAAATTCTTTTCAGCCAGATTCTCATCTCTGCTTTGTTCACTATCTTCTTCCTCTTCTTTAAACAATGCTACTACATCAGCACTTATTTTTTGGTTAGCCTTCTTTGCCAAACTGAATGACAATGAACCTGCTTTAGACAAGTTTGCTTCACTGTTAGTTACATCTGCAGATTTTGACTGAGAGAATGCCATAAGTCTCTTGCGAGCAAGTGCTTTACCAAGAAGAACTATCGACTTTGGAACTAAATTAGACTCAGTTGGAGATAAATTAAAACTTAATGCCCGCTCAGTAATATCATGCATGTTACTACCTTCAGTTATAGTTTCAGGTTCTAAAATTTCATTAGAACCTGTAGTTTGCCCTATGCTAGGTAATTCTGAACCATTCAATTTTTTAAAATCACTAATTTTTGAAATATTTGTTGCAGAATCAGCACTAATTAAAACATCAGGCAAAGGAGGTAAATCTACATCATCAGGTGAGAAAAAAATTGTATTCATATGCAAAGTAGATATTCCTGGAGAATCAGGTGAAACTTCATAAGATTTTACCATTTCTGGCTCTGCTTCCTCCTGCTGTATACAAATGCTCTCACTCTCTGCTTCCCCTACAACAGGATCACATTCAGATGACTCAGCATTTGCATCTAAATTAGAATCATGATTCTGAATTTCATCAGAGTGAGTATCATTAACAGGACTGCTTTCCGAGTCTTTGTCTTCAAGATAAGTTAAGTCTTTAGCCACTGAATGATCTAGAACATCTGTTATATCATCATCTTCTTGAGGATTTAATTCTGAAAAATTATCATCGCCTCGAACAGAATGTACATCCAAATTACTGGTGTTATTGCTCTCTTCACCTGCATCTTTCTCAGAAGGATCCTCCTGTTCGGACTGATTAACAGAATGGCAACTGTCACCTTCTGCTTCATCACTCGTAAAATCTTTTTCATTAGCTTCCATAATAACCTTAAAACCACCTCCTGGTATAAACTTTTCTCCTGTTCCCATTTCAATTGGTCCTCTGCAAGGGAAAAAAAAAAAAAAAAAAAAAAAAAAAAAAAAGACACTAACTAAATGTATATATTTCACACACAGTAAACATGCACATAGTCAGATAATATTTTGAGAATAAATTTTCTTCTGTATTTTTACACATTTATGAAATAGATGTGCAATTTTCTCATCAGAATTTTATGCTATCTAAAAGGTAGAATTTAACATATCACAATGTTTTTAAGATAGGTTTTCATCAACCCTTCATTAAGAGTTTGGCCCTGAAATCCTTAAATTCTTCAAACTGCAATGGAAAAGTGGTATTGTTTTAATTATAATTCCAAAATGTTCCTCAACTTTTGTACCCGGACATTTTTATTTCCAATACTTTCAATCTGAAATTGGATACATTAGCAAACTCTGGTCTAAATATTTCTGAGCTCTTAATTAAAATGCTTTAGAATGCACAAGTATGTAAGTTTTAGAATATATAAGCATCTAAGCTTTAGAATACACAAATACTATTTGAGATAAAAATTATGTTTATTCGGTTACTAAGCACATGCTGCATATTCTTAAGTGACCAGAAATGTCATCTGTTTTCTATCAGCAAAATAGCCTTAAACACACAGGTAGTGCAAGTGTTATACCTGGTCTCTCGATCACATACCTGTTCTGATGGTGATATCATATTGCTGACCCTCCCTCACTAAATGGTTTGATAGTTACAGCTATGAGAAATAATTAGCCGCACATGATTTTCTCCCGTTAGGCCTCCTCTGATACAAAAAAACATATTGTTGTAAAAACATCCCTTTGTAGCTACTTATCTAGCAATTTTTTTCATTATTCGGCAGAATAGAGGATATTCTTCTGAAAAATTAAAAGTGGGAGAGATAAATGGGATAAAAGAGCAAAGTGGGAGGACATCACCAGTCCAAACAAGATATTTTAAACTTTTCCCTCGGACAAATTAGTTATCTGAAAGATCCATTAAATAAAGCTCTAAGCATAGTTATAAATGTTTGAAATTACATATCCTTTGTTTAATATACAAAATTGAAATCAGAAATTTATTTTACATGCAAATAGTAGTATTGAAATATAGGTAAATTAAAAATAAAATTTATTTTACTTTCCTCATACACTGTAAAATAATAACATTAATACAGTCAAATACCGAAAATCCGCCAACTCCTGAAATCCGTTTTGCCTCTCAAAATATAAACATTCAGTTTATAGGTTTCGGAAACCGCAATATGGAGTACGACATATTGAATAAAAAGTACATACAGGATAATGACATCATAATTAACGAATAAAATGAGCCACAATGGAAATACCAAATTATTGACATCATGATAAAAGATTTTTTCCCTCCAGTCTGCATAGAGGTAAAAAAGCATGTGATTCACTTAACTCTTCCTTCAAGTACACGGTTCACGCCGTTGTACTTTCTGAGCATTGTTATTTCAGGAGATTGTCTAGTGCTGCCCTTTTTTTTAATCCAGATATTTTGTGGATAAATTAAGAATATTTTAAATTTCAGCACTTTTTAATACAATGACAGATAGATAAGAAATGCACTTATGATTTTACTGCTTTCAACGTTGAAAAACGTAATCACGTTGCATTGATGGTAATACAAAGAGTGGAAATTCTGCAAAAGATGAAAGGCAGGTGCTACTCCTCGGTTTACAGCAGAATCGTATGGAATTGCGACACGGACCATGTATGATACAGAGAAAATTAAAGAAAAGCTGTTAAAATTTTACAGCAGCAGTGATTCTAACACCGAAATCTGAAATCTTTACACAAGGAGAAATCAGCAAACCTCGATATCGTCTCGCATGAGTGGTTCCGGCAACGGCCTGAGTGATGGGGTACCAATTTCAGGACTGCTCCTGATAGAAAAGGGGAAGCAGATTCATGCTGATTTAAAAATAAAGGAGTCTATAATCATTTTATATATGTAATAATAATTTAATGCATATAATAAATTATTGTAATAATGTATATAATAATTTAATTAAATGTATCTAATACACCTTATTTATTTTGTACTTTTAGCCTGAATATTATGATTTATCTTTTCTGTCCTGAAATCTGCAAAATCCTAAAATCCGCACAACCTCTGGTCCCCAGCTTTGTGGATATCTGGACTTCTGCTGTACCTTTTTCATAAAAACGAAAAGATACTTCTGTTCAATTTAAAACCTTAAGGTACGAAAATCAATATTTCTTCTTTGAAATTACCTTTTGATGAGCTTCTATTTAGTTCACTCATGATGTTTCCCTTCCGGTGGAATTTTGTCATTGATTTTTAACCAACTTCTTGATAAGCTAATGAATTCAAATTTTGTACACAAACTGTTTGTCAATAACAATGCAATGAGGTAAACAACTTTTTTAAATTCGATTTTGATTTTTTTAATTCCAAAATTTCTTACATACTTTTAATTTAGTGAACAGAAGCACAAATAAGTTTCATTTTACTGAAAGAGAATTGTTTATGATTACTTTAATTAAAAAATAATTATGTAGGAAGTGAATGCAGATATTAATTTTTAGTTAAAACGGTTAAAATAACACATTATAAACAGTGATGGAATCTTAAGAAAAAGATCCAAAATAAATAAATAAATAAAAGACATTCACAAGTATTTTTGTTCTAATTACTCATATGAGCCAGTTTACCTTAGAACATTCTCATTGAATCCCCAAATCGATAAGTGATAATTCCTGAACAGCAACAGCCATGATAAAACACCTATCTATCAACACATGGAACAATCTTTTACAATAAATTGAACACTTCCAAAAGATGCCACTAAAACATGTTTCATTATATGTTAAGAATAAACATAAAATAATAATTTTTATGAATAAATATTCATAAAAAACTGCCAATAAAACTTTATAAAAGCCATTAATAAATAATGGCTTTTAATAGTTAAGTAAATAAATTTTTAATTCAATTTATTATTGTATGTAGCATTAATTTTCTACTCATTTTCAGCTTTTGAATGCTTTAAATTTCCTTCTTACATTTTTAGACAAAAAATTATTAATTAATCCAAAAATATGAAATATAGAGAATAAAATATTCCTCATACCTACTAGCGTACACAAATCATTATGCAAATATACATTTACAACTTTTAAAGCCTTAACACATGGCTGCGAAGTTATCATGCATTAATTTGTAGACGCTTTATAAAAATAAAGATGATGTTTTTGAACTGCTTTATTTTTTACAACAATGTTTTATATTACGATGTTTTCTCCTTGCTTTTTTTTCTCCCACCTTGCATTGTTTTTGCCATTAATAAATCAAGGATTCTAGATAAACATTTCTCTAAAGATAACTAGGTACACATACATGTTTCAAAATTTCTCATATTTCAGTATTATGGAGCTTCTGAAGCTGTTTCAATTTTTACCTCCTTTTAAGATTATAATAAATATCAACAATGTGTTCATCCATATTATTAGTCAAGAAGCTGCCCCTTTTCAGCTCTTAAATTTAACAGGTGACAGAAGGACCTCATAATTTGCAAATCTGATTCCCCCTCCCCCCCTTTTTTAAGATTACTGCAACACCAGTCTTCAAGGCTACCATTACTGGTGCACTGTCCGTAGCAAGTGCTAAGCAATTATCAGAAGAATTGCATTTTCTTTTGAAGTTTTAATAATTACCTAAGCTATATTAAAGCCAGTTGAATCTCCTTCTTAAGTAAGAACAGGAAGTAAACTATACTCAATTTCTAAAGGCTATGGCTTAAAAAAAAAAGAAATGACAACTGGATACAGTTTTGTATTATTACTTCTATTCATAGAGAGGCTGAATGGGCCTGTCCTAATGAAATCAATAACTGAAGATTTATTTTTCTTGCCCATTTCTTTTATAAATGCTGTCATTTTTGTTCTTGCACTTCAGTATTTTTTAGCAATTCTGCTATCGGAGAAACATTTTTATATAAATAAAGCTGCAGCATGATATGATGCATTCAGTGGCAGATTGCGCACCACACATTTTAAATTTTGGTTCCTTTGTTTCCATAGATAAATTCTTTGCTTTTTTAAATGCAATTCAAGTTATGCATGTGTTTTTATGTATGCATTTAAGAATATCAGCACTTCCACCATGCAAAATCGAAAAATTGTAATGGTAAATGGTACATATCACAAGTATATTATATTATAAAGTAACAGAAAGAAAGTCATCCATGTACAACTTTTGAAAAGTACATGAGTACTTTAACTTTCTCACAGATGTAATTGGAGAAAAGGTTGCAATTTCTTAAACCAGCAATTCTCAACCGGTGGTAACCAAAGAAACAAAGTATTTTACACTATTAAATTCAAAAATTAAATTCCCCAACATCCTGTTTAAGCCTTTTCTCTAACACTCATAAATTTATACGAACCGAGTTTTGTTCGTGGTCAACAGCCGCTCACACACTATGGCAAAATAATACATTTTTATTTTCACAAATATTCTTTTACCCATAGACATAAAAGCTATTAAATTACATTAGCTAGATAAATAAAGCTACTAAATTTTTATTGCCTATTTGCACGAACAAAGATTTCTTCCCTGCTATATTTGAAAAATAAATACAAGCGGATCCTAATTTTCGGTTTACATATTTAATACGAATAGCCAATAGGTTTAGTAAATGGCAAAATATACTTTTTGAATATTTCTATTGAGAAATTGGAAAATAACCATTGGGAAATGTAGGAGAATAAAAGTTTTTCAATTTTTGTTTAGATGGCACGCATTAGCCAAAAGGTTGAGAACCACTGTCTTAAAACATTTCTCGAAAGCACGCGAAACTCACAGCACTCAATGGCAAGATGAACGAAATAACAATCTCAATCTTGAATTGAATTCAACTATTACTGCCACAAATGTCCCACGAGTGCAACATGTTTGGCTCGATAAAGTAAAGTCCATAGGACACATAATGCAGTTTTAGTCTGAGCCGGGAAAACCTAGAAGGGAAAAGAAAGCGGTGACCA